ATGCAAAAGTGGATTAGTTACAAATATTACAAGCAAATATATGAAAATTGCTCGACTTAGAAAATAAACTTATGGTTAAGAAAATTGCACATACATGAATAGAGGACCAAATTCGCAGTTATTTTAAGTGCAGTCAGATATTTTCTCATGATCGTAAACAAAAGGAAATAGATGGCAAGTTCGCAGGGCCCAAATTGATCTCAGTCCACCTGGCTGGGCCTAGTTAATTTTTGTAGCTTTCTTTTTATTTATATCTCTGTCTATTGTATTTGAGGGATTGCCCAAATGTTCAATTGCACATTCCAACCATGCAATTAATTGTTGCACGTATACATATTTCATGAATTTTGGATATTATATAAGAGAGATGATTGTTTGGACCTTTAAAGAATTAAAGGTGAAGCTCCGTTGAACTCGAGCATGATGAAATGGTACGATCGATTACTTTCTCCCGTCAACATAGTTGTTTGGATTGGCTGGCAAAAGTCAAAAGCTGGATTCACTGCTTCAATTTAACGGTTCCTTTGTCTTTGTCTTGACCCCTTGACCGCTTGATGGTTCCCCCATGCCCCACATCACATATATAGCCTTCATTTAAATTTATAATATTGTCCCTTATTTACAAAAAAAAAAGAATATGTTAAATTATGTCAGGTCGGCCAATCGGACTGGTTAAACCATGACTGGGCCCTGGCTGGTTTGATCATACCCCTAAACCGTTATCACCAAGAAATTGGCCAAAATCAGTAGATCAGCTGGTCCACCTGGGAAGTGGGAACCATTGAATCAGTTCCAATTTCATAAAAGCAACTGGTTTTTGTCAACATTTCATACTTATATTCTAATTTTCAAAGGCTATAACTCAATTGCATGATTGGGGTGATGTATTTTTTTTTTATTCCGGGTAACTTTTTCTCTATATTACCCTACTATTTCTTACTTATATTGCCTTATTATTTTTTTCAAAAAAATCTATTCTATCCTCAAATCTCAATTTTTTGCCCTCAAAGACCATAACTTTGCCCTATTATTTAATTTTCAAAAAAAAACTTTGAATAAAAAAATATGTTATAGCATAACATAATTTTATATTTTCGTATGTGTATATAATTAATACAGAAAAGTACGGATAGGCCTAATGCAGATTTCTGAATTGACATCAATTCTGAGTTGGCACCTAGCCCATCTGTATTTTGGGCCTATGAATTCTGACCCTGGGCTGAACTGTGATTCTCCCTAATTAATATTATCATGCATATATTATATAATTATTACATATCTTTAATATTTTTGTTTATTACATTTATCACAGTTCAACCTCAGTTGAACACTGACCCAAACCTCTTCCTTTTCTGATTTAATGTCCGATTCAGTTTTCTAAACAGTAATTATTACTTATTGGTTATAAATTTTTCTAATATCATATTCGAACCCCTTAAATCTCTTTTATGGTTTTGATAAATTACTTAATTAAACATCTCTCTCTCTATATATATATATATTTTTCACTGCTCAACATCCCTATATTTTGACCTCTACCAACAGCTTTCCCCTTTAAAGAAAGCAGCAATCATACCCAATGTTAGTTGGGCTAACAAAAAACATTGATGTGATACTTAAAAAATTTTAACATGTCATTTCTGACTATGTCTTACATTATTGAAATATGAAGATTTATTAAATTACGCCCCCAAATTAATAACAAAAAAGTATTAAAAAGTAAAACCAACAAAGAAACTTTAGACAGTAAATGTTATAAACCAAATAAATAAGCATTTTACGTGATATATATGCAAGGGGACCTCATCCAAATATTAAGCTGATTATTGACTGAGACATGGCTATGGCTGATTATTGACTGATGCTTCAAAAAGTCCATTATTAACATGTATATCTTGTCCGGCTGAAGCATGAAAACCACGTACGCTGACCTGGGACTTATTTAATTTCTAAAACTGAAATGATGAATAATAACGTTATACCCTTTTATACCTTCATTACTTTTTCAATATAATTAATAATTTCCATGGGAATTAAAGGGTTCAATGGAATCATCCACCATTCTCTTTTCAAATTAGGGTTAGAGTGCTGAGCTAGCTATATAGGGGAGGAAATCAGCCAACTGAGTGAGTGGTGGTTCAGTTGTTATGTTAGCTGCTTCTATTTCAGCAGAGACGAGGGATTCGAATCCCGCTATCCCCAACTTCCATTGGGGAGGGGGTTAGAAGTGTGGTGGGTTTGTCAATAAATATATAAAAAGAAAAAAAGAAAAGAAAGAATCCTCCCCTTCTTTATATCTATGTTTCTCCCTTTTTGTATCTTCTATTTCTCTCTCTCCTTATTTCTTCTTTTATCTCCTCTCTCTCTCTCTCATTTGAGTTCTCATTTTCTTTATCTTTTTTGCCACCCCTTCTCGTTGAGAAAGGAGTGCAGAAATGTTGATCTGTTTGAAGATGCCATGAATTACAATAAAACCAAAGTTAATTTGTGCAGGTTCATTTTCTGTTGGATCTTCTCAAGATCCTTCTTTTATCTTTATTTAGCCCCCGTTTAACAGTGCTTATTAACAAGTGTTTATCCTAATAAGTTATGAGTGTTTGGTAAAAAAACACTCATTTCAAATAAGGGTAGTATAGGTATTTTTAAAATAATGTGATGGGTCAAGATGGATGAGAGAGGAAATAAATACTGTTATTAAGTCCAAAATTTTGACTTCTTGAAAATAGACTTATTTTGAGGAATAAGTGCTTATTTGGCCTTTTCATTAGATACATACAAGTGTTTATTGGTGTAGTCTTAGCCGAAAATAAATGCTCATTTGAATAAGCACTCTCAAAAGAGGGCATAGTTTTAAAAGATTCGTTTTTAATAGTTAATTTAATTAAGGATATTCTTTGTATTGTTTAAGATCCATTTTTTTCAAACACTAAGGCTGCATTTGGTCTTCCTGACTTTTCTCCTTTTTGTGGTTAAAATGTCCCTATAAACACTGACTTTTTAATCTCAAAAAAAAGATAAATCCTTAAAATAAGGAATGCCAAATGCAGCCTAAGTATTAGAAGTAAAACTAAAAGTTCCTTCTTTCATTGTCATCGATTATTCCTGCAGGGTATTATGATTTAAGTTCTATTGGTAGAATTGTAAATGATTTTCTAGTATGTTGTGAGTGAATCAGAATTTAGAGTTCTTAGGGTTTAAAGGTCAACAGCTCTCCTTGTTTGTCAAACATATTCCATGCAAAGTTATTTCAAGATTTTGATAAACTTCCAATCAATTATCAAACGGCCACTTAGTCATGGGAAAAAAAGGAATTTAAATTTTTTTAATCACATCAATACTTTCTGTTAGCCCAAATCATTCATGGAATGCTCATATCACAAACATGACGGATAGATAGGGATTAGGGAGTGTCTTGCCACTTTTTTTTTTTTTGTAAACTTGAACCAAGGTTTTGATAGTGGTCATAGGGCGGTTTAAGGGTATGTTTGATGAATAAGTAAATAAGTATATATATACTTAATTATTCAAATTTCCACGACAACGTGTCGTGTAGGATTATAATGCATGTATTAGGATAACAAAAGGAGATTGGATTTCCTTCTCACAAAATTGATCCTCACAATATTTGTAGCCATTGATTGGGAACCATCTCCGTCCTTGGAGAAATGGTCCTTGTGAAGACCAATTTGAATTTGTGAGGGTAAAATCCCTACTCCAACGATAAAACCATCTAATGGATCTAAATTAAGGGAGTACTTGACAATGTGAATGCATGGTTTTGTTTTTTTAATAAAAACAAGTGTTTCATAGGCAGAAATGCATGGCAATTGCTTTTTGCTTTAGAAAACAAAAAACACTCACATTGTTCATTGTCGAACAACCCCTAAATTAAATAAATAGTTCAATCCATTTTTAAGGCATTATTTGTCAGAATACAAATTTAGAGTAAAATTTTATTAAATGCACGAACACGAACTAATAATATTTGGCCCAAGTCCTAACCCACCATCGATCCCATGATCAATCATGAATGGTGGAAAAATATGGATCCTAGCTAACCATATCCACACTCCACTAACCATAAATTATACAAATAGGTTATTTATCGATTGTTGGATTTGGATGCAGACCCACCATTGATACTTTTGGTTTTGTTCTAAAATCCAGGAAGCTAATTATTTTGAAATGTCATGAGTGGAGTTGGGTTGGGGTGAATCATTTGCATGCATCCTAGTTGGATCGGATACATTTTACATTATTATAAGAGATAGAGATGGTGGGACCATCGCATTGAGTGAATACATGTTAATTAAATTAATTGACTCTCTAACAGACTCTTAATAATAATAATAATAATAGATTATAGAGTTGCCAATAAGGGATTTGGTTGGTGATCAACTACCAAGGCTACTGGTAACTAACTCATCTACTTACATTTTTTTAGATATATTTCACAAATGAGTGCACATGGACCACCAACCATACCTCCACATCTACATCTAACGAACATATACGCGACACTCATTCTGCATGTCTTTAAATCTTACATCTTAATTATTTCAGTTTTAGGCCCCATTTTTGTAGCTAGGGGTAAATTAGGTAATTGATCACGGTCCTTGTATTCTTATACCGTTATATTTAATCTCACATAAAGTGATTTTTTTTTTAAAGAATATTCTCTTAGAGGAATTATTTCCCAGTTAAAATGTCAAATACAGCCTAAACTTTCTGCAGCAACTTTACTTGACAAAAATTTACCCGAATAAACCGGCTTACCCAGATAAATAAAAACCAACGGCACCTTTGTTGGTTTTTCATTTTTGAATTTACTTCTCTCCGTTTACTTGAAAGGTTATTCATGATGTCCCATAGCAAATAGGGGTAGTTTTGTAGTTTCGCGGGAAAAATATTGTTTGTGATTGGTCATTTAGCGTAGGTGGGTCACACAGTCACACTACAAACGTTATACAGAGAGAGAGAGAGTGGGTGGTACAAGTACAACTTCTGAGGAGTTCTGAGTATTCCACACTACACAGCAGCAGAGACCAACTGAAATAATTACCTGTAAAATTTCGTTTCTGTTGTCTGATAAATCTCTTTCATCTCTCCAAAAAAGAATCGTCTGAATCTCTTACAATGTCGGCTTCGTAGAAGCTCCTCTGCAACTTATCCACCTCCATTTCTAACTTCCCAATCTGTTGATTTTTTCTCCTTTCTGCAGTTGCAGTTATCATAGTCGGCCATGCTCTCTTCCAAAACCAAGTAAGTATATTTGCATTTTCCAGATCTGATTAGAGTTTATTGCTTCAGTACTTCTTACGAGTTCATTCTGGAACCTTTTCTTAGTACCTGCTTCATTTTTCTCCTCTCTCTCTCTCTCTCTCTCCACCCCTTTTCGGTGCATTCTTAATCACTTAAAATTCTGTTCTATGTTTTTCTGCTTGCAATTTCGAATCTTGGTTGAAGAATTCTGATACTAGTTTTGTGTACTTTTTTTCTTTCCGGACTTGCCTGTTCGATATTTTCCCGCTATTCTTTCATTTTGGACTTGATCCATACTGGGTTTTTCTTCATTTGAACTTTCATTCAGTTCTTCGCTTTGTAGCTTGGATCTTACTGAGATCACCGTTCTGGTTATAGGCCTCATAAAATCAGTTTTCTTTTATTTCGGTCCCGAGTTTCCCCACGTTCTGTGTTTTGATTATTTTCTACCATGATTGATTGTTCGGGTCTCTCACATTTTTTCTTTACGCTATGCTTTAATCTTGTTACGTAATATGAGTATTGGCTCTTAAACAGATCTGGTTTATTCGAAGCTTCACATAACAAGACCTCACCAGCAACACCAAGGGCCAGCAAATTAGGCAAGGGACTAACTAAATCAGATGTTGATTCATCTTCTCCCCTGCAAAATCCACGATTTTCAATCGACTGGTCACCGAGATCAGTCGAGTCAAAGCCCGCTGTAGATCGTCGATCCCCAAAGATTACTACTACCCCCGATGTAAGTGGAGCAAAACAAACTCAAGAATCTAAGAACTAAATATTCCCAAATTTACATTTTGTTATGTGGTTTTCCTGTCTTCTCATTAGCATTGTTATTTGCTCTTGCTTTTAGAAACAACCCCGCGTGCTGAAGGGATCAGAGTTACAGGATCAACTGGGCCTGGTTCAAGAAGATTTGAAGAAGGCGAAGGAACGATTGGCCTCTGTTGAGAAGGAGAAAGCCCGGGCACTTGAGGAATTAAACGAAGCCAAGAGGTTGACTTCTGAGGCAAATGAGAAGATTGGCGACGCCTTGGTTGCTCAAAAACGAGCTGAGGAAAACGCTGAACTTGAAAAATTCAGGGCTGATGAGTTGGAGCAGGCAGGTATTGAGGCTTCTCAGAAGAGGGAAGAAGAATGGCAGAAGGAACTTGAGGCTGCTAGAAATCAACATGCAGTGGATGTGGCTGCTTTGTTCTCTACCGCCCAAGAGATCCAACGGGTGAAGCAGGAACTTGCTATGACCAACGATGCCAAGACCCAAGCTCTTAGTCATGCTGATGATGCAACCAAGATTGCTGAAATCCATGCTGAGAAAGTAAGGTTTCTCTCTGTTGAGTTAAACCGGTTGAAAGTTCTGCTTGATTCAAATCTGGAGATAGAGGCTAATCAAAACACTGAGCTAGTAGAGAAGCTGAAATGTGATGTGGATTCTCTGAAGCATGAACTTGAGAAAGCAAAAAGTGTGGAGGAAAAGTTAGTTGAAACAGAAGTTCTGATTGAAAGACTCAGGGTTGAAGTGGATATTGTGAAAAAGGCTGAGTCAGATGCTGGAAACTTAGTACAGGAGTGGCAGAAAAAGGTTGAGGAATTGGAGCTACAGGTTGAGGAAGCAAATCAATTGGAGAGATCTACTTCAGAATCTTTGGCTTCAATGGAGAAGCAACTAGAGAACAACAATGATTTATTACAAAATGCAGAATCTGAGGTTGCTTTTCTTAGAGCAAAGGTGGATTCTTTGGAAATCTCAATTGGAAGACAGAAAAGGGATTTTGAAGAATCAGAACAGCAGCTTGACATGGCTAAGCAAGAAGCATTAGAAATAGCGAACAGAGTTGAATCTCTAAAAATTGAGATTGAAACTGTGAAGGGGGAGAAATTGCAGGCTCTTTACAATGAGAATCTTGCAGCCTCAAGTGTAAAATGTCTTCTAGAGGAAAAGAGCAAACTCATTAGTGAGTTAGAAGCCTCTAGAGAGGAGGAAGATAAGAGCAAGAAGGCAATGGAAAGTTTAGCATTGGCAGTACAAGAAGTCTCTGCTGAAGCAAGGGAAGCCAAAGAGAAGCTCTTTCTGAGTCAAGCTGAGATTGAAAATTTAGAGTCTCAGATTGAAGATTTGAAGTTGGTTCTCAAAGAAACAAATGAGAAGTATGAGGCCATGCTTGACGAGTCAAAACATGAGATTGGTATTCTTGCAATCACTATTGAGCAATCCAATCATGAATTTGAAAACACCAAGATTGAGTGGGAACAAAAAGAGCTTAATTTGGTGAACTGTATAAAGCAGTCAGAAGAAGAGACCTCTTCAATCAAAAGAGAAATGGATAGACTGGTTAATTTACTCGGTGAAACTGAAGAAGAAGCTCAAGTTGCAAAGGAGGAAGGTGCCCAGATTCTTAGTACCCTAAAGCAAGCTGAATCCAAGTTGAGTTCTTTGGAAGAAGTTTTGGAAGAAGCTAAGGGTGAGAATGTGAAACTGAAAGAGAGGCTTCTGGACAGAGAAAATGAATTGCAGAATATTGTTCAAGAGAATGAGGAGATTCGATTAAGAGAGGCGGCTGCACTCCAAAAAGTTGAAGAGTTAACCAAGTTGCTTGAAGAAGCTTCTTCCAAGACAAAGAAAGAAGAAAATGTGGAGCTCTCAGGTAGTGAAAAGGATTATGATTTGCTCCCAAAGGTGGTAGAATTCACAGAGGAGAATGGAGGTGGAATTATAGAGGAGAAGCACAAGCCTGAACTTCCATCTAATCAGCTTGAGGTACCTCAGGGAAATGAAGGTAAGTCCAAGGAGAAGGAGCTTCCTATGGGACATGAGGTAGAGAATGGGATTGGGAACTCTAAAGAAGAGGAAAAGAAAGAAGAAGTACATGATTCGGTAAATGTGGAAGCAAAGATGTGGGAGACTTGCAAGATAGGGGAGAAGGACTTGTTGCCTGAGGGAGAGCATGAACCTGAATCCTTTGAAGAGGAACATGATTTGAAAATTGGTGGTGAGGGATTTGATCAGGTAATTGGGTTACCTTCATCAGAAAATATGGACAGTGGTGGAAGCTCTCCATCAAAGCAGCAATCAGAAAAGAAGAAAAATCCATTGCTTCGGAAGTTTGGGAGCCTTCTGAAGAAGAAAGGAAGCAACAACCATAAATAGGTGTAAAAACCAATATCACCTGGCACAGCCCAGTCTGAACCATCACATGCAAGAAGGTATACTTGATATGATCTTTCCCTAGATGGTATTTGATTTATTCTTCCTTTGGCTTTTCAGAATAGAAAAAATTATATATAAAGAGGACTGTATCATCTTTTGTAATTTCATCTGATGCATTTCCCCCTTTTGGGGGTGTTGTATTATCTGATTTTTTCCACATCTTTTTCTCTTTCTTTTTTAAATTTTAAGGAGATGTAACTTTATAATTGTATGTTTATGTGATCCTTCTTTTCTTATCGTTATATTATATCCTTCTTTACATGGAGAAATTATTGTTTTCTTTTCTTTTTTGGATTGTTGAGACAAATCATCTTTTGTTCTTTGTCCTATCTGTACTGCTGACATAAGTTAAATAAAGGTACCTGGTTTGAAAAGAAAAAGATTAAATTGTAGTTTCACCATATTGTGTTTGTGTTCTTTCTTATCTCTATATTAAGTTTTGGTGATGATGATTCAGATCCCCACATGCATGATTACATCTTTTATGATATTTGAGCATCTTAATGTGTGCATTCTTACCTCATATGAACGTGTGTGTTTACAAAAAAAAAAAGCTACCTTACCTTTTTCCCGAAAAAAAAAAGTGTATGTGTTCACCAAGATACCAAATGTTAGGCTCATATCCAGTCCACCCCTCCCAAGACCTTGGATAGCTCAGACCAACATTGGGTTATGGTCCTTTTTAACTGTTTATGCTTCCCTTGTTTAAGTTGGTTGGATCAGATGGGTTTAGGAATGGAAATTTTCCCCATTTTCCAGATCCCAGTGGGGACCTGCCCAGAATGGGTGGAGATGGGGATGATTCCCCCGTGGGAATGGGGATGGAGAATTTTTCAGCCCTGTTGGAGGGGATGGGACAAGGATGGAGAAAGCACTCCTTGCCCCATGGGGACCCCTGCTTTTATGTATATATGTATATGTTGATATTTTTAAAAATCGGGTTGAATATGTTTGAGTTTATTTTCATCTATTTTAATAGGATTGTAAATTGTAACTGTTTTATTTATTTTTTATTATATTCTACACCATTCTTTTGGATTTTCAGTCAGAACCAACAAAAATATAAGTCATGAGACATAGAAAAGCAGATGCTACAATTTCCTTAATGCCCGAAATAAGAAAAAGAAAATAGAAAGAGTTAAACACTGTAAGGTACATTAGAAAGAAGGCAGCTCATAGATAGAGATGCTTGATCAGCTGCAACTGAGATAACTTGTTCTTACAGGTAAAAACTGGCTCTTGCAGAAAACAAATGCAGATCTCACTTACAGATCCTTGAACACTCGAGTTGTTAAAGAGGATACCAGTTGGAAAATGTTATCTGGACTCTTAACAACCAAATAACTCCAGCTTGACTATCTTCAAGTTGCAGTAAAAGTTAAGGTTAGAATTGGCTTTTACAGCATACACACAACTTTGAAGGAAATGGAATTTGTACCAACAGTAAACAGCCACAGAAACCCCAACAAATGTTGTGTAAATCTGACACGAATGTATGCCATATAAGTCAATTGATCCTATTTGAACCAGGACCATAGAGTCCAAAAGTCAACTAACTGCTTGTACTCTAGTATTCTTCACCGTTTTTTCTTCTTTGGCTTCTTTGTTGTTCCCCATCATCTTGTTGTCATCCATTTCTTTAGCATTCTTCATCCTCTCTTCTTCTTTATCTTTGTTACCCTCCACTGTCATTTTTCCCTTGTTTTCTTCAGAAACCTCCACCATCTTTTCATTCTTAGGTTTTCCAGCACCCTCCACCTTCTCTTCTTCCCTAACATATATTATTACCTGAAGCAGTTCTAAAGGAGTGGCAGCTGGATCCAGATCCTTGCAACCCTTCGGGGCATTTGGAGCTTCTTGACCTGTAAGAAAGTAAGAAGGAACCTGATGTGAGAAGCGGAACATCTCTTCTCTTGGAATCGTCTTGACTTGGTCCAGGATCCAGATGCCAGTGGAAAACTGTCTTAAAACCAGCAATCTTAACTAGAGGAATAACAGTCACGCCCTGTTCCTTCTGATAATCATCAAGCACTTCCACCATGTCATACATGTGTATCACTTCATCTGGGGTAAGCGCATTCCGATCGGGGGACCAATTTCTATAGAGAGCCCAAACATCACCTTTCTTCAGAAAGATTCAAATAGAACCTCACAATCCTTTGGCCCACCTAACCCTATGTGAGAAAGATTTAAGGGAATCAATTTTTTTTGTTGATAAATAGAATTAAAGGAATCATTGACTTCATACCTCCCTACCCTAAAATCCCCACAAGTTTTGGAAAAACCACAACCTACCCAATTTAGTGGGCATTGGTTTTAGAGTTCAGCCAACTGATCCTCATCTTGAATGGATTCAAAGATACACATTATGAATCATGGCATAATAACAAGGCATCCCATCATCATCATCGTATGCATCCCAGACCTGGTTTCTCCAAAGGATCTTTCAGACCTATCCTTGTCAAAATCATGAAAATCAGGATCAGGTACAGAGATTGACATGGGCTCAAGGGCTTCTGTATTTGAATCAGCATCACTGCCAGGAAAATCCTTCTTAGCTTGGATATTTTTCTTGATATCTGAAGACTTAGCAGATACATTCTTGTCACACATCTCACCATTTGATGCAGCATGTTCACTGTCCTCTTTTTCTTTCTCCTTATCTCTCTCTTTGTCTGAAACTGTGGCTGCAGCAGCTGAGCTCCACTCTGTTAGGAACTGTCTAACTCAGGGTTCTAAGAGGAATTACCTCCTAAATTGATGAGAGAGAGAGAGAGAGAGTTGAGCTGATGTGGACCTCTTCTTTTGTATGTCTTCAGCTTTGGTCTGGTTACTCCTATATACAGGTTTGGGTTCAGCATAACTGCTTGTTCCAAGCTCCAACATTACCCCCCTGTTTAGTTGGACCTTGGCCTCAAGGTCGAGATTGAGAAATTGGTGGTGGAGCTGGATGTAAGGTTCCCAAGTGGCATCCTCTTTGGGTAAGTGAGACCATACTACTAGAGCCTCTGGTTCCACATGATTTCCCTTTTTCACCCAACGAAAGTTAATAATGGACTGAGGTTCTGTGACCAATGCCATGTCATCGGTGAATCTTGGTAAAATGTGTTGGCTCACAGCATCTGGCTTAAGGCATTTCTTCAGAACTGAAATGTGGAAGACTAGTGCTGAGGTAGCTCCAAGTGGTAGGCGAGCTTGCTGATCCTCTCGGTGATCATGAAAGGTCCAAAGTAGCATGGGGCTAACTTGTTCCAGTGTTGCTGCCCGATGGAAAGGGAGCGGTAGGGAAGTAGTTTCAAGTACACAAATTCACCGACTTGATATTCCACTTTGTGGTGGTGCTTATCATATGAGTGCTTCATCCACTGTTGTGCCTGGTTCAGGTTATGTTTGAGCTCTTGTAAAGTAGCATCTCGCTGTATCAGAAAATCTTCCAAGGATTCGACTAGAGATGAATCCACCCCTTTTGTAGGGTAATACAGTGGGAGGATCTCAACCGTATAAGGCACAAAATGGTGTCATTCCAGCAGCCACATGACATGATAGGTGGTATTGTACCACCACTCAGACCAGTGAAGCCATTGGACCCAATGTTTGGGGTTGGAGCCCGAAGGAAAATAAATGAAGCAGGAACTGTTGTATGACCTGGATGATTGGTACTCTTTGGAGGCTTTGCATTCACGATCGTGCTACTAGTAAAATTATAAAAACCATTTCCACCAGGTTATGATGATGGAACCCCACTAGGCGGTGGAATTTTTTGTTGGAATCCCTTTGAATTCCTCCTTTGGTCATATGCAGCTCTTGTTTTGTCAGACAACAAACTCGAGGCCTCTGAAATGATCTTAAAACCCCCATCAGCCCCTATAGAGCCAACTTCCTATACTGTTTATTTTTTTTACAGTCCTGTCATCATCCAAGGGATCCACACCAAGAATCCCATACTAATCCGCTTCTCCATTTATTTTATTTTCTGCAGAGACATACACATCAAGAGTTGCCAGCATTTGGGAAGACCATCAAGTGTTGGATAAAAATTTTGAGATTTCAAAGCAAACTTCCTTGCACTAGCAGTGTCCTTCACAGAAAACTTCTTCTCAGCAATTTCTTTTGCCCTGGTGTCTTCATCTTTGTTGCACTCCATTTCCTTCTGTTTCCAGTTCCGTCTTTCTTCGGTTTGTTATTTGTAAGAAACAGAAAAATCAACTAGAAATCAACCATCACAATCTGAGCCTACAACTTGAGGTCCTTTCATACATCAAATAGGTCCAAACTCCAAAACCCATTTAGAGACGGCCTCTGTGGATGGAGGAATTTGAATCGCAGAGCCTCCATGGAAAGACCATCACCAATTTTTTGCCCCTTCCCGCCTGCCTGCCCCCCAAATCCAAAAAAATCCCAAAAAAAGGGCCTTTTGTCAAAATGCCTCAAAGCCTAAACAGAATTAGATGAAAAAGAATATAAAAGGTACCAATGAATTTGGCCTATTCATAGTTTTAAAAAATGACTGAAACGAAACCGTTTTGTCCACTGGTTTTCAGGTTGATGGTTTAACCGTCCGGTTCGAACAGATAGCCCATTCTGACTACAAAAATTAAAAAATAAAAAATAAATAAAAATAAAAAAAACGGCCAAAACCGTTGAACGGGTCGATGGTTCGACCCGGTTTTTGGCCAATGACCGGTTTTGGGGTAAAACGGAACCGGTTGCCTGGACGGTCCCGGGCCGAACGGTCCAACTGTCCGAGTCAATGGCGGTTCGAAAACCATGGACTTATTTGACGTCATCSAAATAAAAAACAAAACCAATGAATTGTAACTATTTTATTTTTTAATTTTTTAAATGAGATAAGAATTAAAARAAAAATGAATTTGAGGGATCACTGGGTCATTTGGCTTCCGAGGTTTGGTTATCATCATTCATCTTAGCCGTCAACTAACATTTCTCTCTGAGGGATCACTGTTGTGGCCTAGATTCGTTGAGCAATAACTATATTCGTCTACAGACTACAGTTAATGCTCTCAAGTAGTGGTTAGTCTGGATACTGGCCTTCTTCCTTGTGCATGAATACCCAAATAAACACAAGCTTTGACATGTCCTACAAGGGAAATTCACATTGAAATCTTTTTTAATTTATTGAGTATTCTTCTTTTCAGTTGTTATTTATGTGCATTTTGCTTTGCCTATAAGATTTATCTTAACCTCACGTGTTCTACTACATGATTGAATGAGTTGCAATCCCTTTTTGAAGAGTTACAACTATCTTGGTCGTCTCTTTGCAATATGAGGAATCGAGTGCATCAATGGTTGCTTATGGGATTCATCAGTTTGAGTGATTGATCCATGCTTGATAGGGATGAACTATTCCATGTTTTAAGTTTACCTTTCATTAGATCTAGAAGTTTTCTTATACTGGGCTACCTTGTGAGCCATCCTATTCTCCCTTCTACTTACATATACAAAACAAACACGATTCATATTCACAGAGATTCTTGATTTCACCAAAATACTTGTACATTCCCACAGCACCAGATCATTTTCCTTCTCTACTGCTTTAATTACCACCTGGGAATCTGCCTCCACTTGAACGCGATACCATTTCATTTCTTTCCCAAAACCAACTGCCTTCAGTATTGCCCTCAATTCTACCTCCATCGATCCTCTTTTCCAGAAAAAAAAAAAGAAAAGAAAAGAAAACCCTCCTGCAGTAGCAAAAAACGAATTATCATGAGCAAAACATCTATGTTTTAAGTTGTTAGGAGGAATACAAGTAAAGTGCCGTGAGTCCCCAACAGTTTATAATGGGTTTAAATCTCATTCAACATAACCTTTGAATGATATTTGCATCTTGATCTCAGAAGCGTGTGGTTTGCTCCTGGAGGCATTGGCTGGCTAGGTGAATTAATGGCCTTATATGATTACCTGCACTTGTAATTGTTTGACTGCTTAAGTCCATTATCACAATATACAGTTTTCCGGCCAAAAGGAAAAGCCCAGTACATCGGTTATGTATGAAGTAAATGTTGTCAAAGTAGAAGTTTTGATTCTTTATGACAAATTGAAAAGTTAGTATTTTCTTTTTCTAGGACATAGAATAAAAGATAAGGAATAGTAGCCGTAATACCTGTACTACCCAAGAGGAATGTTAGCCAATAATAACGCTTGCACTGGAAGCCCTTAAACCACCCAAGAAAGAACATAGTTAATCCAGAATATTCTCATTAATACATGGGCTTAGGAGTTAGGAGTGTTTATTCACCAACAAACCCTTGTCATCTCGTTCTTTGAGGCCCATATTCCACTTGGATCCTTTCATGCTCTTAACGTTCTTTCTATGTCTATGCATCCTGAATTCCTGATTGGGCGGCCTTGCAACTTATTAAAAATAAAGCCATATTAAAAAAAAAGACTAAAATTCTGGATAAAAGGCCCATTACAAACCCATCCATGGCCCAAAACCTTTTTAGCCCATTACAAACCCATCCACTAAAGCCATATGCAACAGCTTACTCCCAAGTCCTCCCAACCAACAATCTTGTCATGATTTTGAGATTAGTGATCCAACAACTCCAGCAATGAGAGTGGTAGGGTCTCCAAGAACAGCCGAGATAATGAATTGAATGGCCATCCCAGCCATCTCACAACACTTCTTGACCTTGCCTTTGCTTCGATGCTGAACATTGAATGTTCCTTTGAGGCTTGGAATTCTAGTCTCCAACTTCTTGATACCGTTTCCGTTTCCACGCCCAAAATAGAGCTCGTGCCAGCTCTCCACTAGTATTTCCCTGACACAGGCCACATGCAAGTTATACTTCTTACAACTCGACCGGTAGCTCCAGCTCCGCCCCTTCCTCCCACACTTGTGGCATGCCGAACTCACCTTCCGGTACAAGTAGAGCTTCACCTCTCCATCGTCGAGCACGCGAGGGAGGTTCGCACAAGTTGGGTGAAGGTCGAACCCGCACGACTTGCAATGATAGACGAATCCATTTACATCCTTCTCACAGGCATTACAGAATCGTGGGACGTTGCCGGGGGGTCGGGCAAAGAACTGGAAGGAACACTTCTTGTAGAAAGGGTGGTAGATGGAGGGAGAAGGGAGGGCACAGTGTATGTGTAGATCAAAGTCACAAATGCTACATTTGTAACGTGACCCTATTCCCACTTCTTTGCACCCATCACACTTAAATGGTACTTCTATGTACTCAAACCTTAACTTGTGCTGAGGGTGACTGAAGTGAGTTATTTCTCCGTATTTCATTGTGTTGGTAACACTCTAACAGGAGCCAGGATTGGTTTATATAGATGTGTAGAGAGAGAGAGAGAGATTGAAACGTTGGTGAGATAATCTCATGGATTTTATGGAGGTAATATGTGACTAAGAAAGGAGGACAAGATGGAATAGTGTGTAGCTTGTAAGTGAAGATTGTTGGGATTTATGCTTGGTGATGGTGTGGTAGTGGTTTAAGCGGGGTATATGAAGACATGAAGAATCATGGAATTGGTTCATCTTCCACATCATCAGAATTTCGAATTTCTTCTTTTATCTCCACTTTAACTTGGATTTGCTATCTTCTGAATTGACTCAGCAGCACGACTGCTTATGTACATTATTGGAATTAAGCATATACTGGCTGTAAAGGGAACCCGTGCACGCCACGGATTCAAAACCCATTTCATTTGTTTAAAATAATCTTTTTTTTTTTTTTAGTCAGCCTAAAAAAAGGGCCCGTTTAGTGCATAGGAGTAGAGATTTGAAATCGGAATCAAAATGCCTTATTTGGTTCTAATTCTCCCCATTGCTGTCTGAACCAAGCAGATTATAGGAATATATTTTTTTAAAGGATTTCAATTCCAATTCTGATTTTGACTATAAACCAAATACACCCTTAATTTTTAATACACAACAATACAATGTCAAAATGCCGAATCGTCAACCAGCTGTGCAGTGGTTCATGAGCATCCATGGAAAATATATATATATATAAGCACGTTGGTTGGATAGAGAAAGGGAATTTCTATGAAAGTTGTTTCAGATATTTTCAAGTACTAAGAAGAACTTATCAGCACATCTGAACATTAATCCTACTCAAACTCCAACATTGAAGCTAGCCATTGCAGTATAGAGAATCAGAATTTTGGGCACCCACTTCCACCTGGAAAGTGATGGTTAAGATAAGACGTTATGATATTTAGTTGGTAGAGTGCGGAAGATCTCATTGGTGGGTTAGTTTTCAATTCAACTGCTTTTCAAAAGAACCATGCAATGCAACTCTGGCTTTACGCCAGATGTCAAGTTAGTGATGCTGACAAAAGGTTGGGACCCAGATAAACACCAATTTGGCCTCTATATTTCTTCTGATAGCACACCGAATACGGAATAATGAACCTGATCAAAATGTGTGGTTCCATCCATGTTTGGGAAATCTCATCAGTCATCAGTTAGATAGAGTGAGTGTTTTTGGAGAACAAACCACCTCAATCTTTATTTAGGGCCGTTTGGAAGGGCTTTAGCTTTGATTGATTGAGTTGTTTTTATTGAATCACTTTGAAGAAGCTATTAAAACCGGTTTCAGTGGAAAGTCAATTTTAACTGAATGAAAGCTGGGTTTTTCATCAAATATAACTTCTAGGCTTTCTGTGTAGGCTCATCTCGCAAAGCCAGGAACCGCTGTGTAAAAGCCTTTCCAAACAGGCCCATGTGGGAGGGCTTTCAAGTTTCAATATTGATTGAGCTACAATGACTGACTGAGATGTTTTGAAGAAGCTATCAAAACTAATTTCACAGAAAAGTTGATTTCTCAGGTTAAATGTAAGGATTTTGGGGTTTTCACCAACAAAACTTCACGGCGAGCCTACCGTGCAATGCCAGAAACCAGTTTTGGGGCTTTTATCATTCCAAACGTTGGATAGGATGAATAGACAGTATATGCCTTAGGGCCTGTCTCTTTTATTAAAAGACACTAGAAAAGTGAGATTTGGGAGGCATTGCAACTTGCAATCCATTCGACCAATATTCCCCAACAGAGAGGAGGAGGAGAAGAATAATTACACACACACACGTCTAAATATAGCTATTTATGTTGCATGCTAAAGTGGGGAATGACATAACAAGGAACAAATTCCTTACCTGTAATACATCGATCTACTCATGTTTATTATATATAATCCATCTAGAAAATAGAAATATTCGATCCATCGAGGGAAGGGAATTATGAAAAACATGGTATTGTTCATGTTCTTGTTATTCTCCCAAAATTTATTCTCAAGGAAGAAAGCTTTGCTTACCCTTTACTAACAAAGCTTATCTGTTTGCATGCATATACATGTCTCACTGTTTGGAGATATGGATTGAAAAGCATGGAAGAATGCCTGATTATTTTACAATAGAAGAGGATTGATCCCCAACAACAAATAAAAATAATGGTATACTAGAAATTCCCAATCGGAATCCAGTACCATCTCGAACAAAAATTGCTTTCGAGCTTTAGAGCTGGATCATTTATCGGATAATGGATGGTTGAAAGGATTACGCATCGATTCCCTGTAACTGTAAGAGACTAAGAACATGAAACCCCAGTTGAAGGAAAATCAAAAAAGGTAAGAGATTATTGATCCATCTATTTCATTTTCACATCACCCAGTTCCACTTGTCCGGTGAATGTCCTAAAAATGTCTCCTCAAAGTTTGCTGATAAGAAAGAAAGAAGGAAAACATAGAAATAGAAATAGTACTTAAAACTCAATATACATAGGATTAGGATTAGGATTAGAATGGTGTTTATCATCAAAGTGTCCAACGGTTGGTATCAGCAATCAAAATGAACTTGAACCAAAGCATGCATTCATTGTACTCCATCTTTCACCCAAAATCATTCAGTATCTTCCCACCAGCAGTACTGTGGCATAGTCTATTTCAAATTGTACTTGTGGAAAATGGAATACGAATATGTCCTTGATCGTAAGTGTTAAGTGTCAGTGACAATTCTTTATTGTGCTTTTTCAAAAATTCCGTTTCACTTGTTCCATCCACTGCTTCCATGGATGATTGGATGACAACGCACGATACCCCACTTGCTATTACTTAACACCTCAGCCTCTTGGAGGTTGAGGTTCACCAATGTCAGCATTATATATGTCCTTAGATGAAGTATTCTGGTATTAATCAATCTTAATACACCCGCCATTCATTCTAACTCCCCTGTTTCTCACAGTTTTCTTTTCTTTTCTTTTATTTTCGGTGTTTGGTGAAACATCTGAAACCCCTATAAGGGCCGTTTGAATAGCGCATTCCCACAAATAACCCCCTCCMCAAATTTTGATGATAACGGGATTTGAATCCTGGTTTTCTGCTGAAAAGAACCAGTTGACATACCAACCGAACCACCCTTCAGATGGTATTGCCCAAGATCAAATCAACCCCCCACAACGTCTCACAGCACATACTTGTCCTGTACTGGAAACATCTCCCGATGATAATATCAGAAATGATGATGTCATCATCGGGAGATGTTCCCAATACACGGCAAAAACGTGCTGTGGGACGTGGGGGATAATCTTGTAGGGGGCTGATTTGAACTTGTATTACCCTCTTTTCTTGACCCCTAATATTACAAGATTGCTTTTAGGGTAAGATACAATGCTATTTATAGAAGAAAACCTTAAACTGGGTCAACCCTACATACTGCTAAGAACCAGTGCGATCTCATTAATCCCGTGAAATCCGACAGCAAAACCCTAAAGAGATGCATATACTCATTTTTTAGTGCGTCTCAATCCATTTTAAAATATGGATGGAGAGAATTGGAGAAATAACATTAGAAAAATGGACTTACAAAAAACGAAAAAAAAAATGTCATTTTTTCACAATTATTACTCACATTTTAAAATAGGTTGGTCTTTCCAATGGCTATTGTTTTTTTAACATAGTTGACCTTGTTTAAATTTGCACTCCATGCCATAAGCAAAAACTGCTTGTACCATTTCAGGAAGGTTCGGGATGGATATTGTTTTTTCTTTTTTTTGGGTACTCAAAGAGGAAGTGGGATGTCTATTGGTTAGATCATGACTATGATAATGATATCCTTGTAGAGCCCCCTTAGAAATTTTAATCAAGATAAAAGACTTGAATATACCTTGACTTTTCAAAAATTGACTTAAGTATACCTAAACCTTGTGGGTTGACTCTCTGGACTTAAATATACCATCATCACATTGTGAAATCATAAAATATTAAAATACTATTTTGCCCTCCTATACTCTGATGAGATTCTCAGCCACTGACATTCCTCTTCTTTTCCTTCCAATGAGAGAAGAGAGGAAGACATTAGGAGAGCAAATGGAGACAGAAAGAGAAGAAATAGTTGGATTATATCAAACGGTTGTGATTCTCCACCGATGGGTTCTTGAATATAACTGAAATTTCTTTTAGAAGATGCTCACCGGCGAACTACAACCAAAACTCAAGCCATAGTGGTCACTATGCCCCATCCCATTCAAAGGTATTCACGTAAATACATTGGACAAAGAATGATCCATTGACATAAAACACTTTTTGAGCAATAAAATTCTGTTAGTTTGCCTTTTCCAGATTTATGAATAAAAATGCCCTTAAATAGGGTGGATATATATTCTAACTTTGTTTGAACAAGAACTCACAGTTCAGTTTAAAACCTCAAGGTATAAACAAGAACTCACTGTTCTAAGACAGCCATTCTGTTTTGGCTTTAAAACAAACAAAGCACTTTGTTCAAACTAGAACAAATTTCTAATTCTCTGCCTATGAGTTCTTTGTTTGAAGTAAAAAATTCTGTTTGCCTTTCTTTGCTTCTTTTTGAAAATGTGAAAGAAGATAAAGGGTAAAAGAGTAATAGGGTATGTTTAAATCCATTTTAAAACTTCAGAGTATCTAAGTCAGTTTCTCAAAACTCGGGGTATGTTTGTCTTTTACCCTTTAATCATCTATTCTAAAAATGCTAAATCCAACATCATCCCACAACTAACAAGAAAAGTATCATCAACAATTTCCCATTGGACAGTATGTACTGAAATACACTTACTATTATTTTGAAAGAACTGAATATGAAGTAATCCCACAGGGATTCGGGTCTCCACAGGGAACCCATCCCTGTTGGGGATTGGAGATGAAGGATAACTTTTATTGAGGTCGGGAACAGGGAATATGATCCCTAACACATTGCCATTCCTACACCTCAACACCCAACCTGAACACCCAGCCTGAATTTTGGAGCCATGGAAGGACACACTAAAGACGGTATTGTTCGAACAGGGAATATGATCCCTTCCACATTGCCATTCCTACACCTCAACACCCTACCTGAACACCCAGCCTGAATTTTGGAGCCATGGAAGGACGCACTAAAAGACGGTATTGTTCAGCGTAGGGCCAAGGTCAAGGTTGGAACCATGAAAAGACAATGTCTGTAGAAGCAGGGCTAAAGAGTCCAACCTAGTTTCAACTGTAGGGTGAAGTATTCAAGAGGTGCATTTATGTGAATCATTTGAGTTTACATAGAATGAACAGTAAAAGGAGACACTGATTGGATGCATTCCAATTTTTAAAAAAGTATGCCATTGACTCAAGGACGAGCATATGAGTTTTAGCATGTGGATTCTGGAGCAATGTACGCCAATACATGGCCAGTGAGGTTCATAAACCCATTGGCGTTTGGACCTGAATATGCAAAGCAGCAGAAGTTTTATCCACACAATGAAGGAAATGGAACATACAATCTAATTGTGGTCCTCCACCTTGGTGGAGTTCACCACTCTTTGTAATGGTTGGAAGTAGTGTTATTTCTGTACCCCCTCATGAGCCATAATGATCTGAACAAGTGATGCTTTGTAAATAGGGCAAGCAGTCTTACTAGGACACTGTAAAATTATTTGGTCCAGTTGTGCCAACAGTGGGGACTCTCAACTCTATGAAAACACTTGTTGTAAAACTATGATGATTCACCAAGCCAAAGTGAGAAAAAGGTTTGGGACCAGCTTCATTTATCAAAAAAAGGCAAGCTCTCAACAGAGCCAATGCAAGCAAAGAACATGGCCATTCTTGATTTGTGCAGATACTAATGCCTGAATCTCATGCGATTTTAGAAAAAATTCAAACAATCATATACATCACTCCAACCTCTTATTGATTTGTTTTTGAAGAACAAGTAATTATTGCTTTCTGGGCAAAAACAATTACAATGTCAGCCCGGAAAAATGGTATATCTGATTCATGAAATAAACTGTACATGGAATAAGTACATTCTTCCCTTCCCGTGATGGTCCCATCCCTTGTGCAAATATCACCAGAAGTCCATGCATGAACACAATCCATTCTCGAAATGGTGGAAACGATTTCGGTCCCTCACTACCACCCTACGATTATATATTTTTGAAATAAGTTTTATTGATGAATGACAATCCCCACAAATCCGTAGGTTCTTGACTATCCTCAACGTTGTTCCAGGGCTTGTGCTAATCAAGCCAAAAGCAATTGCGATCTTTTCACTGTGATAAGATAATGCGCTTTCTCTCTCTTCCTCATCCACATTAAGCAATACTTGTGTTGTGTCTGGAGTGTAGCCAGCAAGCCTCAAGCGATCTGCCATCTCCTCCAGCATTAAGTGGATCTCTCTAGCTTTTGTATGGGTGTCATCTTCGACAAGGAACTGGTGAATTATCCCATCAAGCTCGATCCAACTACATCCAGGATCTTTCCTTATGTCAAGCTCCTTCATCATCAACCTCACCTGGGCAACAGCTTCCCAGTTGCCTAAAGAGGCATACATATTCGATAAAGCCACATAGCTCCCACTGTCATGAGGAACCATTTCCATGAGATACTTTGCAACACGTTTTGCAATTTCAACATTGCCATGCATCTTACAAGCACCAAGTAGAGCCTTCCATATCACATCATCTGGTTCAATGGGCATATTCAAAATAATCTCCTCAGCCTCTTCTAGTAACCCAGCACGTCCCAATAGATCAACCATGCACCCGTAATGTTCAATCCTAGGTCTTAACCCGACTCTGACCATCTGCCTAAAGTAAGATTTACCTTCATCCACCAACCCCGCATGGCTACACGCACTCAAAACACCAATGTAAGTTACATCGCTAGGTGTCACTCCTGATTGTTCCATCTTGGAGAAGTGGTCAAGTGCATCCATTGCCCGTCCATGCATCGCAAGTCCTCCAATGATGGCATTCCAAGTGACTACATTCCTCTTAGGAAACCGCTCAAATACCTGAAGTGCCTTCTCTATGCTCCCACACTTGGAATACATGTCAACCAAAGCAGAACCAAGAACGTCATCAACCTCAATTCTGTTTTTCTCTGCATACACATGAACCCACTTTCCCAATTCCAAAGCACCCAAACGAGAGATTGCAGGGAGAACACTAACTAATGTCACATAATTTGGTCGTACATCAACCATTTGCATCTCACGAAAGATCCCAATGGCCTCCTTGAAGAACCCATTCTGAGCATACCCAGCTATCATTCCATTCCAAGATACAACACTTCTTTGGGGCATCTCATCAAACAATTGTCTTGCAGCCTCAAAGTCCCCTAGTCTGATATACCCATCGATCATCACATTCCACAAAACTATATTACCATCTCGTCGCCTCTTGGACGTTACTTTCTTGTGAGAATTATCCATACCGACGGACAGTTCATTAACCCTCAATAGTTTATGATTAGTAGTACTATCTTCCAACGCTTCACCATATTCAATGGTTTTGCTGAATAATTGGTGAGCATCCTTCATGATCCCACAAAGCACATACATTCGAACGAGATTACTAAGAACAAACTCATCAGAATCTAATCCACGCTTCACAACCTGGCCATGGACCTGCTTCCCTTCTTCAAGTCTAGCAATCTGAGCACATGCTTTTAACACAGATGGGAACGTAAAGCGATTAGGTTCAACTAATTCATCATGAAGCATGTCATTGAATATAAGTATTGCCTGCAGAGGGTCGTTGCTGTTAGAAAAARCTCTAATTATGGTATTCCAAGAGAAACAATTTGGCTCTTCCATTTGATAAAAAACAGAACGAGCATACTCGAGGTCTCTATAATCCGAAAGTGCACAAAACTGTAGAATTTCTGCTGCAACCAAAGAATCACGAATTCGACCTGTCTTGATCTTTAAGGCATGAAGTTGTTTCAAATCTTTCAGGGTTTTGCATGTTTTGATTTCCAAGAAAATTGAAGAAGATGAAGAAGGCAAGGAAGAAGAGAAAGAGGACGGCTGAACCCATGTTGCATTGATAAGTAATGAGTTAGAAACCAAACACATGGTGGTGGAATGAATGGTGATACAACACAATAGCCTATCTAGTATTGTCTTACAATTTCACAAAACAGTGCTAAGTCGCTGCAAACGGATTGAATCGAACTATTTAAGCTCGACCGGGTTCGAGTTTGGCTTAAAGTTCGATTTGAACCAAACAGAATTGACCCTTTTGCAAACTACGCCCAAATAAAATAGGTGGTGAATAACTTGACCATGTCCATTGTCCACCTCGTTAATTACACTTTATTTAGATTTTAGAATGACGTTTGCACTCTTATCAATGGCACCCTCAACCTTCGGTTTCTGTCTTATTTTCTATCAAACAAGAACATAGCATAAGGAAGCCCACTTTTAACTCAATGGCTGTGGTTTCATATAAGAGGTATCCATATGTAGCATGATATGGGGCTGTAAGTGGAAGAGGAACACACACACACACACCAACTAAAGTTGCATTTAGCATTGGGCAAGTCATTCCAAATAGGGAAGTCATCAACAAGTTCATCTTCATAATACAATTCAACGATCGACTTTCTTACAATGACAACAGAAAAAAGATATATTGAACCAGGGTCTCAATGACAACTGCTTAGTGTACATATGAAAGGTATAAAAGAATGGCTCTGGTTCATATGATAGAAAAGAAAAAAAGATGAGGACCAAGCAATCTTGATTCTTTGAAAGCCCATTTCAGCATGCACATCCTCCTCCCCTTTGCTCAGTTTCTGAAACAGCCTCTGGGATGCTCTGGAAGTATCTGCAAAAGGGAAAACATCTTATGTCTTAACTAGATGACCCTAATTAGGTTCATTACAGAAGTATTTCTATACTTTACCAGTTCAAAAAAAGGTATTGCAAAGTATTTTTGGAACTAAGAAAGGCCGGAACATGGTACTACCCTCTACTATGCAGAGTTAATTCAATTACCAAAAGAATTTGTTCAAAGGAAAAAAGAAGATAAAAGCATCCTCCCCTGCCTTCCCTGCAAAGACAGGGAAAGATAGGGACAGACAGAACAACAATGAAATTCCAACCACAACAGCAATAAGGAAGAGCCCCCAATACAATTCACTCCTCCCCCACCCAACTCCTAGAAAACATGAAGGTGACAGACCTCGGAATCCATTAAAACCAAGATGTTCTCTCTTCAAACAAAGGCACAGATCTCCTTAATATGATTACACAATCCAAAGGCAACCAAACCATTCTGCAGCCACTCAATATCTAAGAATCATTCTCACCCTCAATTCTATCAAAGCCTTGGGAGTATGTCATACCGAGACCTGTAGAAGGAGCCAAAATCTACGCTGATGAAGTTCCACATACAAATTGGACCTAAACTGTGGAGGTACAACATAGGCCAGTTCTTGATGTTTAGCAAAAATCAGATGTTAAGCAGCAGGTTAACTTTTAGTCAATCATCTATATTTACATTCTCTGCAACAGAAGATCCCAGTCCACAAGTATTGTATACTAGGCATATACAGGCATCTGGGTATCATTGCTTTTAAATAGTTACTTAAGGAAGAAATGTCAAAAGTCAAAAATAAAAAATAAAGGGGATAATAATGCATTAACTAAGAAATATAAACATACAATATAATGGACAAAAAAAACATATGTAAAAGAGTTGTTCCAATCAAAGCCAAAATATTAACTCAGAAATCACACACTATCAACACAAAACAAATGATAAATATTTATACAGAAAATGCCTTAGACCATGCACTACAAATGGCTGCAGATGGTTAACATCTGATGTTGCTTTAAAGGCACATGTAAGCAGTAACTTAGATAAAGATGAGTCCATATGGAATTGCACAACTCACTAAATGCAATTAAATATGGTTGTAAGGGAAATAAGTATTTCTAAAACTAATATCTTAGCATGCAGTAAGCATTGCATTTAGGGAAAAAAATCTAAAACAAAGTTAAAAGAAAACATAAAGCATAGTTAAAAATGGGGCAAAGCAGATAATACATACATGTCCTGCTCGTGCTCATTCGCTAGTGCAGATTTTGCAACACATAGGAAAGCAGCATCAACATTGTAATCCTCTTTTGCTGAGGTCTCAAAGTAAGGAATGCTCCCCTTGGAAGCACACCAATCCTTCGCTTTCTTCTCAGAAACCTGTATATAAAATATTTTAGAAACAAAGACAAGGAAGAACAACAAATTTTGGGAGTCATTTAATATACTCACCACACGGCTGTTCCCACCATCTATGTCAACCTTATTTCCAAGTAATATAAATGGAAAAGTCTTGGGATCAGATGGACTTGCCTGAATATAAAAGAGGAGAGACCATATCAGCATTGAAACAGAAGAGAATGTGAAAATAGTGAAACATGCATGGAGGAAACTTTAAGCAGAAAGTGACTCAAATATACTAGAATATACATCATGAGAGTTGTGATATAGATGGGTTTTGCGCCTTTTGTCTAACAGGATAATCACAGTTCACTGTGAACTAGAAACCAAGGAACAAATAATGGCTCAAAAGTCAAAATCCAGGACTGGTGGATTATTGTCTGCTTGGGTCATGGGAAAAGAAGATATATCAGAAACAACCAACACCTTGGAGAACCTGAAGATTGAAATTTGAATAAAAGTTCAAGGATCTTAAGAAACTTTTACTTATAAAACATAATATAGAAAAAAAAAAAAACATGTCTTTAAGTCAAACAAATTTAGGAGGCAACTGTAGTCATTCACGGAAAATATGAAATACCCTCAAAGAGTTGGTCAAACAAAGCATGCATACAAAGTCAAACAAAGCCAATGGGTCCAAATTAGAAGCGCAAGACACACTAGGCGCATGCCTAGGCACACCAGGTGTGTGCCTTTTAAAAGTGTTGCACCTGGGACCTAGGTGAGGTGCATACCTTAAAATGAACCTTGTTTGAGCATCTAGGCGCACCTTTTAAGTTACTGATCTGCTATACCTTTTCTATTTCTACCTTGGCTCCATTCAGTGAATCCATGGAAGAGGGTGTAGAAACAAAATCATCACAAGAGGGAGCAATAGTAATTAACAATCCCATTCTTATTGTTGTTCTTCCCAAATCTCTTGAGGTGTTAAGTGACAGTGAAGCTTCCAGAAGGTGTTACATGTGTGCTTGTGCTTTTACAATGGTCACACACCACTTCTCTCTTTGTTCATAGTTGCCAAGGCAACGCCTAGGCAACCAAACAATTTCTTGCCCTTGCTCGCCCATGTGCCAAAATGAAAAATTGAAAAGGCACACACCCAAGAGACAAGGCAGGCACTTAGACCCTGCTTCAAATTACATTAGAACCTTTTTTTTTCCTTGCCCTTGCCATTTATTGGTTAATTTTACCAGTTATAATAGAACCTATTACACATAATAATTTACTATTTTCATTTATGAGATAAGAATACTAAAAAAGTAAAAAGAAAAAAATAGTTGATTGTTGAGTTGTCTAGTAGGGTTTTTTGTAGCACAATGAAGGGAAAAAACTACAAGAACTTTTCCCTTCCTTTTCTTCCTTTCCTCTTTGTTTCCTTTCTTTTTGTAGATCTAAAGCAGGGGCTACAGCCTATTTTTTCCTCTTCTTTTTTTTCTATCTTTTCCCTAAGCTTTTGAATTGTTTTATTGGACTGAAAAGGAGCTCCACCCCCTTCTTTTATTCTTAACTTTTTTGCATTTTTTCAGCCTTTTATTTCACATCATTGGTGGTTTGAAACAGGGTTCTGCCCCCTTCTTTTCTTCTTGATTTTCTTCTTTCATTTTAGTATTTTTTTCTTATACTTTTCTTGGTCTAAAACAGGGGCTCCACCCCCTTCAGTTCTATTAAATTCTAACTTCTAACTCTAATATTTCTATTTTCATACTTAAAGTAGGATTGCAAAAACCACAAGCACAAAAATTAGTTTATAGGTTAATTGATTAATATATATATATATAACCAAAAGAAAAAAAAAAAAAAAAACTAGCTAGAGGGGCAGAAATTTATGGATCTCCTAAGTTTAGATTCCATTGCTTAGGTGCCTTATGGTCGCCTAACCTCACCTTGGCACCTTGAAAACCATGCATTTTCTTCTCTCTCAGTAGTCTCCTGTGCTACCGGTTTGGTAGAAACTAATACTCTATGTTTAGGCCAGCCAGAAACTCAAACACCCTATTCCTTTCGACCACCTTCTTGTAAACAGCTACATCTTTAGAATAAGAGACCACTCAAAAGTCTCTAAACAATCAATCTCCTACCATAGAGTTCTCAGTTTATATTAGAATGCAAACAAGGACATCTTTCCCTGTTTGAGATTGTTCACTTCCAACTTCAATTGGTAAGATCCAGTCACATTAAGAGCCCGAGAGTATGTCTCAGAAGCATTATCCCAGATCTCTTTTGAAGTCTTCATCCACAGAAAATTCTGGCTGATTTCAGGTTGCACAGAATTAATTAGCCATGACATTACCATCATATCTCCCTAGACCACTTAGCATGTTTAGGGTCCTGGGAATTTGGCTACTTTTCAAAGCCTATAAAGTCTGCCAACTTACCACAACCACCAGTGTGAATCTTTACAGCCTATGACTACTGGAGGTAATTGCTTCCTTACAACCTAACAGTGGTTATCTGAGAGGCAAAGGGGTCACCAGCTACTGGGCTCCCATAGGTGCCACTACCTTGCTTAGAATCCTCTCCAAACATCTCCATTAACTTCCAACACAGAGAACTTCAGCAAATAATCACTTTACAAAGCTGAGAAGAATTACAGATGCAACCAATTGGTGTATAGTCTTCCTGAAAACCTTCCCGGGATGAAAAGGACAAGCATATAGAGAACAAATGTTGATCTCTTGCTCCTTCCTCCAAGGTAAAACTAACGCAATTGACCCCTTCTAGGATCAACAACAGAACATAAATCTCCAACACTTCAATCCAAAGCAAGGATTTAATCCACAATTGAAATCTCCTCACCTGTTTCTCTGGTTCCTCGACTTTGGGATCTTCCCCAAGTTCGGTGAACCTCTAGGGCAGAATTAACAAAACTCTCCAAAAATGACTGAAGCAGGCCACAAGAAGAAATTGAAACAACCCTCCAACTATCCAATGCAATCGCAGCTGGACTAACACTACATGAGAAAAAGAATTCTGCACAAAACTTCGCTCTGATACCAAGTTGTCAGTCCAAGAAACAATTTCGGTTAAAGGATTTTGTGTAGATTGTGCAAGAAAAAGAGTTTTCAGCAATGAGAAAGAAAGAGACAAAGAGAAAAGAGACGAAGAGAAGATGGAAGAACGGTTCATAGGGCTCAATAGGAGCGCATAAATATAAACAATAAACAAAAGAAAAAAAGACAATAATCCAGCCCATGTTCACTCTTTTCTACAAGATACATGAATTTTTCAAGGCATAAGGATTCTACATGATAGTATCATAGTAAAGCACCTGGTCTCCTAGGTTATGGAAATTGACAAAGAATTAAAAAAAAAAAAAAATCCTAAAATCTAAGTTGGCTTAAAGAAACCAACAATCATACAAACTGAAAACCAGCAAAGTTTTTTGCTAGATAACAATGAATCAAATATCAAAACATGGTAAGTCATCATATCCAAAAGACACTAGCACTTTAAATCTATTAAATTCAATATTTTAAACATAATATTACAATATAATAAGTATATAATATAGAAATTGCATGTACTTAAAACTAAGAGATGGAACCAATGTTCTGTCTAATGAGAGAAAAAAGATAGTAATTACAGAAAAAGGGGGAGGGCAGAAGCAAAGAATCTTACGAAGATTTTTGAGGAACGATAATGGGCACTTCATTTCTGTCTACTTAGGACCAATAGGGGAAGGAGACTCTACAAAAGCAGAATTATGGTCTCTACTTCAAGGATTAACATTGTCCAAGAGATTGAACTTGAATAATGGTGAAACAGGAGACTCTACAAACCAGAACTATTGTCTCTACTTCAAGGATTATAATTGTTCAAGAGGGGATAGGTAAAACCTTTAGCCTAACTGTTAGGAACTAGACACTTGTAAATATTATTTTTTACCACAATCTAATAAAAATTCACAGTTACTTATTAAAAAAAAAAAAAAAGAAAAGAAAGAGACCCAAGGGGCTCTGCATTTTCCTCCTACTCTATTTCTCGTCCCTCAAAGCCCTTGGATCTTTTGTATGTTAATGGTAAAACCCTAAAATAAAATTTAGGTAAAATAATATGATATATGATGAGATGTAAAACACACATAAGAATTAAGATACACACTTAGAAATAGAATAACAATAGGGTGCCCACATTGTAATTTTGTCACTGATGCAAAATCTTGACAACTATTTGAAAGGTATACAGCACAACTTCTTAACTCCCCTGTCATTACTTCCATGTGAATTATCTATTTAAGTTGGGTGGGTCAACAGCAAGAATCATGTTTCTCTTTATATTTTAAGGCAATATCTTATGTTAAAGAATAACCTAGCAAATCTTTCCTCATTACACAAATTCTCTTGACCATCATCCGCTGTAAACAATTTAACTATTGTCCAATAGAAAATTAATGCACAACCAAGTAAACCTCCTAGGCCTTGCATAAATTTCTAAAATTTTGAATCAGAGAAAAAAAAATCAAGGAATTATATATACTCTTTTTGAGTGAGTTGTAACAAGAGATGCAGAAGTGACTACAAAGCTAGCTCAAGTTAAGATAGAGTAGAACATAAAAGACCTGTTTGAGAAACTCCTCGTGCCAATTGTCAAGAGTGTCAAATGATCTAAGCACATTAACATCATACACTAAAACACAGCAATCAGCACCTCTGTAAAACGCAACCCCAAGGCTTTGAAATCTTTCCTGTCCCGCTGTGTCCCAAACCTGTCAATGAAGGTGTACTACGTTTCAGAAAAGGTAGAATCAACAGGATAAATCCTAAAAAAAATAAACAAGACAAGTAAGTAATCTTAGATTATGAACCCACTTGCAAAGTAACAAGTTTGTCATCAATCTGAAGCTCTTTAGTGACAAAATCAGCACCAATTGTAGCTTTGTACTGTTGACTGAACTTTTTATGTACGTATCTAAGCAAGCAGTTAAAAGCCCACATTCACCAATTTCAAAAACTCGATTCAGTCAAAATGTAGGACTTAAACCAGCACTTTTTTTTGATAGATGAAAACCAGAACTTACAGAATGATACCAACACAAATCCTAAGAGTCCTAACTCAACAATTTCCAAGACCCAATGTATTAACAATTAAAGCTTCAATAACCCTTACTCGCCAACTGACAGGATGGAAGGTTATGCAACACTGGATCCTAACTTCTCAACAATATTAACGTCAAAAATTTAAATGCGAAAACCAAATGGTAAATGACCAACAAACAGGAGAAAATTGGGTTCGTACACGACAGAAAATGAGCCTCAAAGAGCACCAATTCGCATGAAATCAAAAACAGATGCGGAAAAACCGACCAATAGTCAAAATATCCCACAAAAATGAAAACGCGTAAAACTCAAGTTCTGCACATACATTGAGAATTGCAACAAAAAAAAAAATCCTATATTTTCTCAAAAYATAAGCAATAGGAATTTAGAGAACAATAAATCAAACAGATCGAATGGTCGCTCAAGGATACTGATTCATCAAAGATGTTTTCCCCACCCTGAAATGTACAAATAACAAAACTAAAATCAGAACCAAGAAAGGAAGGAAAAAACGAAAATGAATTGAGGCAAAACGCACCCACTGTCGCCGAGAACAATAACCTTCAGCAAGGTCCGCCTTCGCACAGACATGGCGAAGAAAGAGTGGAAATTTTGAAACGAAAATCTTCTTTCTTTAGGAACTTAATTTCTTTTCCTTAACAAGACGAATTGAAGGCCGAAAAATTAAAAAGCGGAAAAATAAATAGAGATTGGAGAAGCAGAAGCAGAAAAAAAGGGGAAGAACCAAGAGGGTAGTCGTTTCGAGGTGCCTCTCTCTCTCTCTCTCTCTCTATGTTAGAAATCCTCTGCGCGCCAGCAAGGCTGGTTTAAAAAATCAAGGACCAAAAGACTCGTGCGTCCCTCTTCACTTTTCTTGCAATGTCACGGACGCCCTGAGAGATGAGAAAGGGAGGACCTATTGTGACAGTGAATGAAACTTGTCGCTTGGAAAGATGGTGACGTGGATAAACACATCAAATATGATGACGTGGAACAGCGTTGATATATTTCAACTTCCACCTGGCAGATTTTATTGCACAGATTTTTCCTTCTTTTTATACGTGCAACCGTAGTGCAAGATGGTATACAGAGGTGCAATTCGGACCAGGCTGGACTTATGGCCCAGGTGGATCGGCACTGATCTATCTACTCTAATTAATGTCCAGCCCACTAAGACATTACTGAGTTCTGTTGTCCAGCCCATTCCCAAGCTTCACAGAGTTATCTGAATTCTTAACAGGCGAGATGTGTATTATATGGGGTTATAATGTTATATATCTGAAGCTTTCCTTCTCTTTCTTAACCCTCTATGAAGATATTTCATCAAAACAAGTGATCCACACGTCTCATAATCCACTCAATAGAGGGGCATAATTGTATTTTTAACGATAAACCGAATGGGAGTTTCAGATAATTGGGCAACGGAATGGGTTCGGGGTGAGGCCCCGTCCCCGCCTATAGTCAAAATACTCTAATTCGTCCCCGTCTCATCCCTAGTGGTAGGGGCACCCATTCTAACGGAAACTTTCGAATTTTTTCCGTTTTAATGCAATTATTTAAAAATAATATAATTTATGGATATTTTATAAATAAGATTTATTAGAATTTAGGGATATTACAATTTGGGGGTACTTCAGAAATGGAATTATAAAATTTTAAGATTTTAAGAATTTAAAAAAAAAACTTAAAAATATTTTAAAAATCAATATTAAATTTACAAAAATTTTATTAATTTATTATCRAGTTCAGAGAATTATATACAAACCCCATCTCTAATTCGGGCCAAAAATATTTCTCAATCCACATTTAAGATTGAGAAAACTCACCTTGCCCCGGATTCTAATATATTCCATGTTGGAGGGTTAGAATTTAGAGGTTGGAGCCAAAGTGGATGAGGTAATGGCCAACTCACCTTTGGGCCCTGGAATTGGGTTTAGCCTCATCCAGGCTGACAGACAGTTTATCTCTGGCCCAGGCAGGCCCAAATTTCCAGCATAGATGGAAAACTACTTCTAATAAAGTGTATCAGCTTTTTTTTTCTTTTATGATAGAGAAATAATGTAGTCGACTTTAAGATGGCATTATTGCTCTTTCCATCACCCCCCTAAAATTGGTTTTCTTGAAATGGTAGGTCATCAAGCATATGAGAGGTAGAGACTAAAGAGATGATGGTGCAATTTTGCATTGATAAAAATAGATGTTTCAGTAGTCATCACATGGTACTCTCAAGTCTCAACATATATTTAATATCATATCTTTTTCATATCATAGTTGAACCCTATCTTAAAACACACAATCTTATCCCACTAACTCCTTTTCCGCTTTTATTTTTTGCATGTTAAGTGTGGGGAATAGACACCAGAGCTGTCGAACATTTCTACAACATTCTTAGATCCATTTGGTTCAGGTCAGAATTGGAATTGGAGTTGGAACTGAAATTCCCTTGAATCAGAATTGAATTTGTTTATTTCCAACGTCTGTTTCATGGAGTAGGATTTTAATTATTGTTGCTTTGTTAATTTGGAAGTCTGAATCAAAATTAATCTAAAAATTTTAATTCTGTTTTAGTTTATTAATATTTTAATATTATTGTTTTACTATTTTATTATTAATTTAATAGTATTACATTAATATTTTCATCATCATCATTATACATGCCTTATCCCAACCATATGGGGCCGGTTACATGAATTTTGTTTCGCTAATCCATTCTATTCAACGAAATATATTATTATTATTATTATTATTATTATTATTATTATTATTATTATTATTATTATTATTGTTGTTGTTGTTGTTGTTGTTGTTGTTGTTGTTGTTCGGGTCATGGCTGAGTTGGTTTTGAGAGACACGTGGCCACCCAGTCATCATCCGGCCACATCGGCATAGCTTGACCACGTCGGCATAGTTCGGCTGAGCTACGCTACTATTGTGGCCCCCCACCTTATCTTTTTCGCCACGTCAACTATACATCACACGGATGAGCACTACTGCGGATAAAGAAAAGTAAAAAAGACAACTCCGTTGGAGAATGGGACCCTATTCCGAATACCTCATCCCGACAACTCAAGAAGCCTAACCCGACCAGGACACGGATCTTCGGCTATAAAATGGTACTCCATGCTAAGGCAAGGCCCCCTAACTTCTAGCACCCACATCGTTACTCTGCTCAGACCAGCGCCCTCATTGCTCGGCCCGACCATTCACCGCCCTCTCACTGACTTGAGTGTCGGAGTACTTACCCGGGGATAACTCCTCGGGCCTCTGACTTCTTCTCTTGATGCAGATTACATAACGCGACACCATCCTTATAAGTTCAGTACCGCCTAGTCAGCAAAGATTATCTGGTTGCTCTCCTCAATTCGTGCACTATCTCATATTGAACAGCATCAATTATTATTTACTAATATTTTATTAATATTACAGTTGTGTGTATTAGTGTTTGGGGTTTTTTGTTGGGAGCTCCTTACTATTTGAGAAATTCGGGAATGGAAATCACATTCCCAGGCCATAGAGAAATCCTATTCCGATTAAACAAATGGCTGAAACTGGAATAGGCCTTTCTAATGATGATTGCTCTAAATTCTCAGAACAAGGGAGAGGGTTAACTATTTCAATGAAGTAAAGGAAAGCTTATTTCTTTTATTTACCAATAAAAAGTTATGAAGAGTTTCAACCTGATATTAATACAAGTTGGTTTTGACTATGTTAAACTTTCCAGCTCCGTTGTGAGCTGCACTAGTTTTTAGCTTAGCCTTTGCAAGTCTCGGCCTAAAGTGAGCCTCAGTCCAAGCTGGCCCCTTTGCAAACCTACTGCATGCATATACACATCAAGCTAAATTCAAAGAATAGGCATTCCACTAAACCTCCTTGGCAGTTTGTTCAGCAATTAGAAACCAAATCTAACCAGCCAATTTTGACTACCATAAACCCTTGGGAGGCCGGATAAAGCCATTGATTTGAGCAGACCAATTCAGAAAAAGAGTGCATCCATTGTCAGTCTTGAGCTACAATTTAAACACTTTTTTGTTGACCTTTTAGTTTCCTTTTTGGCCACTGTGTGACTGTGTTTACCTTCCTTCATGATAACAATTGACCCAAAAAAAGAACAAAAGAAACAAAGAAAAATCATGAAAACAAAAATACCTAGAAGACCAAAAAGGAACACGGCCATGACTTGGTGCCTAGAGGACCAGAAAGAAGAAAAACAGAAAACAAAATTAAAAAAGAAACCATGCCACCAGTTCCTAACCGATAATAATTACTTCCATTCTCTGTCTCTCCTATATTTTGTACAAGGAAGACTATGAGAGGAGTACAAAACTTTGTATAAAATATTGCATATCAATCAAATAAAAGTACATTAGTCTCATTAATAAATAAACCTAATTCCTAGGGAGGACTCACTGACAACGGAAGAGGACTCACGCAGGATCATGAGACGTTTTGACAACAGCAAGTCAATGAAGCCAAAGATAAGCATACCAGAAGCTTCCTAGCAAATGAAACTGATGAAAACTCTAAATTAATTCAACAATTAAGAGCCGTCCTCCACTCTCTCTCTCTCTCACACACACCTTATGACCTTATGGGTGGTAACTGTGATGGATCCAATTCGGGTCCCAGGCTTTGGTTGCAGTCATTACTATGTAATGTAAGGATGAAAGAAAATAGCCCATCAATGATTCAGAAATCCAATCCATGATTTTTCCAGTTGTAGATTGGTTGGCATATCAATCACCACGTCACACAATGCCCATGGATCCAATGATCCAACCCATTTCAAGCAATAACTCGTGAGGTTCATATTAGGGTTCTAATAAATGTTACAGATTTTCTTGGTCAACTTATATACAATTGTAAGGTTGTAAGAAGAATTTGTAAACACCAAGCAAGGTATCAGCCTCAGACTCAAAAGACATAATTTTCAACAAAGCGATTTCAGGCATGACACCAACCAGCTTTTATTCTTTCTTTAGGTAGCCCTGACAACTCCCATCGCACACATAAAAGCTGTGATTTGACTTGCCCAGATAGATACTTTCAAAGGCACCTGTTTAGTATGATCAATATTCAAGAAGGTCAATGATGAGTTTACAAATTGATTAAATAAGTTAAATTCAATGTGTGAGTCTCATCCAGACTCCTGATGTTCGTCAGCTCAATAATGCAAGCAACTATCCCATTCTAAATTCATACAAGTCATAGAAAGGATTTCCGAATATCAGATATCTCCGTATAGTGTATCCCGCCTCCTCCCCCACATTCACGCAACGTTTGTGCCTAACTTCATCAGAATATATAACAGAACTAAGACAAAACAAAAATTTGTCTTTGATGGTGACACTATCAACCGATGACCTGACTCGGTGGGTTTATATCACCACTCACCAGTTTAAATACTGACAGATTGACAAAATTCACTCCCTAGAGACTGTCATCACTATTGGTGAAGCTTCCTCCTCCCCACTCAACCAATTCCCTTACCACTTTCAATTAAGACTTTGTTGTTGATTGGGTCAACATTTCATTACTGTAGGCATTTCCTGGTACTTTCTTGAATCAGTCCCCAAGTCCAACAAGAGAGATGAAGAAGGAGTTGGACCCCTTCTTGATGCCTTCCAAGACATTGCTTCTCATATATATTTATATATATATATATATATATATCAACTATAGAGCAAAGATATCGACCTACCCTCAGTTCGAGATGTATATATGCAAGACTTTTATAAGTCAGCCAAACCTTGTTTGATGTCCAGGTGGAAGCTTACAAGCCTACAAAGAAACCAAGACCATTGTTGGATGGGTGGGGTCATGGTTCTTTTGCCCTGACACTTCGACTACATGCAAACCACAATGGGAACAAG